TTTTCTCTGTCTTGTGACTTAACTTTGCATTCTCTTAAAAGTATCTTTTAAAGTACAGAAGTTTTTAATTTTGATGAAGTTCAGTTTATCCTTTTATGGATTATGCTTTTTAGCTTCATATCTAAGGAATCTTTGCCTAAACCACAGTTACAATGATTATTTCCCCATTTTCTTCTAGAAGTTTTATAGATTTCTTGTTTATATTTAGATCTGTTACCCATTTTACGTTGATACTGATTCTGATGTGAAGTGCAGATTTAGATTTTTACTTTTTGCCTGTGGATATCCCATTGTTCCAGCCCAGTGTATTTTTCAGGCATTGTAGTTTTCATCTCTGGAAGTTTGATTTGAATCTTACTGTCCTTCTCTACTAATTTTAATGTCTGTGTCAGTTCTGGGTTGTTTTCAATTGATCGATTAGTCTTCGCATTGTGAGTCATGTTTTCCTGCCTCTTTGCATGCTTGGTAATCAGATAATATACATTATGAGTTTTATCTTTTTGTGGGGTACTAGCTATTTTCATTCCTGTAAATCATCCTGAGCTTTGTACTGGGAACCACTTTATTTACTTGAAAGCAGTTTCCAAGATCTTGCCTCAAAACTTCTTGGGTATCCTACCCAGTGCCTCATGAACTGTGTCTTTCTCCTGTCTGGCTAGTGGGAACAGATGCTGACTCTTTTAAACATTTTGGATGGTTCTTTTCTCGGCCTTAAGTAGTTTCCTCAAAGACATGCATAGATTAGTACTCTCTGAATACTTAAGGGGGACCCTCTCCAAATCCTTGGGGATCTCTCTGTATTTCTCCACTCCCTGGTACATGTCTTGTAGACTCGGGCTGTCTTAAGCTCCATCCCAGTTTCCTCTCCCTGGAAACTCTCAAGGATGTAAGCTGCCGCAGTCATAAAGCTCACCTTGTTAGTTTCTTTTGTGTGTGGGGGAGTGGGGGGGTGTTTGTTTTTTTATTTGTTTGGGATTTTTTTTTAATATATTCTATTGATTTTTACTGCGAGGAAGGGAGAGGGATAGAAAGTTAGAAACACACCCTCCACTGGGGATATGCCCGCAACCAAGGTACATGCCCTTGACTGGAATCGAACCCGGGACCCTTTAGTCCGCAGGCCGACGCTCTATTCACTGAGCCAAACCAGTCAGGGCTTGTTTGGGATTTTTGTTTTTGGTTTAGATGGGAGGGTAAACCTGATTCCTGTTTCTCCATCTTGGCCAGAACTGTGACCTGTTTTGATGTCACAGCTTCTCTTACATTCTACATTCAACACTGACCAGCCTAATTCCCACTTCAGAAAATACTGTATGCACATTCGTTCCTGCTGCTTAGTGGACACTGCTTCCTCTCCTGAATCAGCTTCTCCCCCAGGCTAACAACTTAGAGCCATATATAAAGTGGTCTGTTCCTCCCCATTGCGAGGAAGCCCTCCTAGCACCTTCTTGCCCCTATAGCCTGTGCCAGTTGTGTGACTTTGTGCTCAGCTCTGGGGATATTGTTTACTTTTTAGACTTAGATTTACAACACCACCACTCAGCCCTTCCCTGTGAAGATTTCTCAAAGGAAGTAGACGGGATTGACAGTTGGTGACTGTGGTCTGATGTTCTGGAGCAAGGCTCATGTACTCTTCCTGGAAACAAGAGCTCATCTGAAATTGAGTAGGAGAATCAGATCCTTGGCAAAGCTCTTGCTTAAAGCCCCTTTGTTGGCATTTATAGTTTTTTAAAATAATAGGAAGAGGCTTTGCCCCTCAGTGTCCCAGAAGAGTTTAAGAAAGACATTCTCCCAGACCTACAGTCTCTTTGCTGAACTCTGGTTCTCTAGGCTGGCTCAGTAGCAGGTAGAGGCTGGATTCCACCTTGTGCTTCCAGCTTGATACCAGTCAGACACTAAAGCATCTTACCTTTAGGCAAAGTGAGATGGATGCACATCTGGAGAATGCTTGGCAATGCATTTAATTAGGAATAAAAGGAGTCTGTCTCAGTACCCTGTGGTTTTTCATTGCAATTAAATGCAGTCTTGCCCTGGTTCGGGGCATGTTCAAATTTGGCAGGAAATAGGATAATTCTTTCATAGGTTTACTGTATTTAAAAGTGAGTTGCAATCCATTAGTGTATCATGAAATAAATTTAGGGGTCACACTCAGCATTCTTAATAATGAGAAGTATGTCCCATGTAGTAACTATTACATAATGTAAATACCTCAATCAGTGGTAGCTCTTTGTGGGTGGGTGGTTGAGTTCCATTTCTGTTACTCCTCTCTTGGCAGCACTGCAATTGAGTAAGCTAAGTAAATGGGAAATAAAGATGTACCTCATACCGATTAGGTTACTTTCAGCTGCAAGTAACTGAAAACCTGACTTAAGGCAAAGCAGACTTTCAGTCATCTTAGAACACAAGTCTTGAGGGAGGTGGTTTGGGTCTGGTTTAGATCAATGGGACAACTACTCTGTGGTGCTGACCTTTTCATGGTTATAAGGTGGCTGCCATCCTCGCACAGCAGCATTCGACAGGAAGGGAGAGCAGGAGCTTTCTTCCTGAGTGTGTTTTTCTTTTTTATCACCGAGACAGGTCTTTCCCTGCAAGATTTCAGTAGACTTCACAGTTGGTCTGAATGCCCAGACTGACACATATGCCCCAACCCTGGTATAAAAGAACGGCTTAGATTGATTCCAGTTCATGTACTGGGCCAGGCTGTTGCTGCTCCTGGAAAGTTGATATTCAGTTAAAAAGGAGGGGAGGGGCACTGAGTTTGGAATGTGCCACAGCCTGGGCTCCAGGTGCCTCTCTGGGCAGGTATTTCTCTGTGGATTTTGTTCAGCTAGCCTTTGCAGACCGTCAGGGCTGGGAACCTCACCCTTCCATCGTTGGTTCTTTCCCCGAGGGGTTCCTCACCAGTGACTTACCCACCATCGCCCCTCAGGAAACCCTGGGGCTGGCTCCTCACATTCTGCTCTATAACATGCAGACCAGGAAGAGGCTATTTCTCCTCGTTAGCTTCCTTTGTAGCTCACAGTCCCCATTGTGCTAAATGAAACCTTTTGGTAGAGCCAGACCCCACTGCTCACTGGCTCTGACCTTGAACAGGTTGCTGAACCTGGAAGTTGGTTCCCTTATTTCTGTTACACGCAGTCTCAGGAGAGTGAATGGGAAGGCTCCCTGCCTGGCAGACAGAGAATCTGAGAATCCTAGCTATTCATTGCCTACTCTCACCCTTAATGCTGAGTTCAGCTGGGTTGAGTTCAGTGTATGAAGCAGAGCCCAATGTGTAGAAAAGGGATCTCTACAGTGAGTATTGTGGAGAGTGGAGACCTGTTCTTCTCCTCGTTACTCATAGAAAACTGTTCAAGTCCTGCCATTTGTCGTTTTTTACCAGGTAGTGAATATGTTCTGGCAAGGAGATGAGCTTCATTATAACCCAGCTTGTTAGTTCTGGCTGCCAGTTCCTGGCCCTGCATTTGGCAGGGGTGGATTCCTGTCCTTCTATCTTCCTCTCAGTCCTTAGCTCCCAGTTCCAGGCAGTCTCAGGATGTACTCTGCCCCCAGGACATCATTCTCCCCTCCTGCTCGGTAAGGACAGCAGTTCCTGTCCACCTCCCTCCCCAGTTCCCTATGTTGTCAAAGTACAGATAGTCTGGTGTCTGTGATAAAGCTCTCACTTAATCTTTGCTTCCCCATCCCACCTACAAGTGTTGACATTTTTAGGTTGGGATTTCTCTCTTCCTGTCAAAAATACAAACACAACTAAATTCGGTATTTTATTGGGTCTTCTGAGTGATTCTTAGAACCACGTTGGGTGCCTACCCTCAGCCTCCAATGGAATTAGCTTTGTATTACGTGACAACTGGCTGACCCCTTCCAGTCTGGGATCCTGGCATAAGAGTTTTCAGGACCTAACTGACAGTTATCACAATTGGCCGACAGTCTTTTAAAAAATATTTTCTGTACTTTTATTTTTAAGATATTTTTATTTTCATTGATTTCAGAGAGGAAGGGAGAGGGAGATAGAAACATCCATGATGAGAGAATTATGGATCGGCTGCCCCCTGCATGTCCCATATTGAGGATTGAGCTCGAAAACCAGACATGTGTCCTGACCAGAATTCGAACCGTGACCTCCTGGTTCATAGGTCGATGCTCAACCACTGAGCCACTCCAGCTGGCCATGACTGACAGTCTTTTTTGAACAAGGAGTTGCAGATGTCTGTTCCTCTTTTCTCAGGGCGTATCTTCTTCCCTGGAATTCCCCCCTTTTAGGAAGGTGCCTTTGTGGTTTGTCTGGCTTCTGGGAAACTGGAATAGTAAACTGAACATGGTTTTTGGATTTGTAGTCTAGCTTTATTATTTCAGCAAGCTACTTCACTACTCTCTGCCTCAGTTCCTTCGTCTGGGAAATGGAGACAGTGCCATGAGGAGGATTGAGTGAGTTTATATATGGAAAGTGCCTCGCTCAGCCCCTGGCTTGGGGTGGAAGCACTGCCCACAGTTCAACTGGAATTGTCAGCAGTTCACTAGGAAGAGGTTTTATGTGTCTTTTCCATGCCACTCTGATTCTGACCAGCTGGTGTCCTACAACTCAGTTCAATTCTGCCACTACCCACATTTCTGTAAAAGATGATGGGTGAACTAAGGAAGGAATATTGCTGCTTACCCTGTATGTGACTCTGAGCCATTGTGTGTGCCTAAAGGGCTTCCTCAGCTCGTCTGGGAGGAAATCCACAGGGTACTGGAAATTCATGCAAGGAGTGTGTACACTTTCCTATTCTCCACACCAAGGTGCATTGCTGCCTGCCTCCCGTGGTCAACTTACTACTTTGAGTTAAGGAAGAGCAATCACAAGGCCTGGCTAGAGGACTATCCTACTCCTTGGAGACCCACTGAGTGCTCCCTGGACTCTGCAGTCCCTCTTCAGGCCTAGACACCCTGCCAGGCCCTTCAGTTCAGGCATCTGGGATTTGCACTCTGCTGATGGCTTATGACTTGCCTCGTGTCATTACTCCTTGTTGCTCATGTTACAACTGCCCTTTTTCACAGGGATGCTTGAAGATGGAAAGAAATTTGATTCCTCCCGGGACAGAAACAAGCCCTTTAAGTTTATGCTAGGCAAGCAGGAGGTGATCCGAGGCTGGGAAGAAGGGGTTGCCCAGGTATGCTCTCATTTGTTTTGTTCTGTTTCTGAGTGTTACCTTTTAAACTATATTTATGGTTAGAACATTCATATGGTTCAAAAATAAGAAAGGTACAAGTAAATTTTATTCCCATCCCACCCAATCTATCCAGTCCTCCCCCCCGCCAGATAACTCTTGTTATTAATGTTTCTTGTAGAGTTTCTTTAAGCATATATAAAGGCATATACTTTTTTTTCTTTTAGACATACACACACATTGTTCTGCAATTTGCTTTTTTATTTAATCTCTCTTTAAAACACTTTATATACCAGGATTTAAAAAAGCAAGTTTTCTTTCAGCTTCATAGTGTTTCCTTAGGTGTGTGCAATCTAATTTGCTTGACCTGAACTCAATTGATGGCCATTTGGGTCGTTTTGCTATTGTAAACCGTGCTGCAGTGACTAACCTTGTATAGACTTTATTTTACGTTTGTTAGGTGTTGGCATAGGCAAATTCTATGTAGTGGGGTGAGTGGCTCAGTGGCTGTCTTTGACATACTGCCAAGTTGCCATCCATACGGATCACACTGAACTGCCACCAGTGGCCTCTGAAGCTGCCTTTCTCCTCTCAGCCCTGCCAGCAGTTAATGTTGTTAGACTTTTGGCTCGGCAGTATGAGAAGCAAATGTTATCTTGGGGTAGTTTCAATTTGTGTTTGTCTTATTGTGGACCATGTTGTGTCAGACTACTTCTAAGAGGTCATTTTCATGGATAAAGTAGTTTTGTTTGTCTTGAGTCTTTCTTCACCTCTCACTCCCCATTGTGTAAACAGCTTTTGTCCGCCAACACTGCAAAATTTCCAGTACACAGTAGGGTTGCCAAATTTTAGTTGGATTCTAGCCTTCCATGGAGTCCAGAAATTTTTTTCTTGGCCCTACCAGGTAAAGGGTGTTCACAGTGGCCTGAGACCCAGCGGGCTTTATAATTAGACCCTGAATGATACTAATCAGTCTGTTTCCCTCTCACCAAAGAGAATTGGGAGATTTAACCAAAGTGTAGAGAGATTTCTTTCTTTTTGTTGTTGTTAGCCCTCACCGGAGGATATATTTCCATTGATCTTTAGAGAGTGGAAGGAAGGGGGAGAGACAGAGAGAGAAAAATATTGATGTGAGAAAGACTGATTGGTTGCTTCCCACACAGGCCCTGACCAGGTCCAGGGGTTGAGCCTTCAACCAAGGTACATGGCCCTGACTGGGAATCAAACCCCGGACCCTTCAGTCTGCAGGCCAATAACTCTATCCACTGAGCAAAACTGGCTACGGCTCTCTTTCTCTTTTCTTGAGTAGACATTGCTCCACTTCCTCTATAAAATATCACTGATTTACCTCCAAATAAATTGCTTAACTTTTAGGAACTTTAAGCCATTCCACTCCTAGGTATCTAGATTTCTGTTCCTGCAGGGCAGAGAGTTGGCAGTATAAGAAGGAGAGGATCTTTGTGATTTACTTCCCTTTGGAAACCCCTTCAGCTGTACCTTTCTGTCTCATCCTGTCTCCCCTCCCCCATGTCTGGCCAGCTTTTGGTCTGTAGCCCTTCCCCCACCTCCCATGCCAGCCATTGTCCATACCACAACTCATCTTCTGTGGCTATTCTAGCACTAGAACAATAATTGCGTTGTGTGTTCCAATAGCCGTAATTGTCACCAAGGTAGTATTATCAGCCTGTTCCACATCCCAGGCTTGGCAAGGCATGACATGGTACTGGGAAGATGCCCAGACTCCCCCTGGACCCAGTGTGCTTTGGAGTCAATCACAGCTCACTTGTGAGAAGCCTGGGTGCTCTGAGACCTCTGCAGGGCATCTTTTAAACTCCTACAGGTACTACTTCAGCAAGTGAGCTAAAAGCACAGGAAGATGGGATTGTTTTGTGCCCCTTTCCCCTTCTTTTGATATTGTTTTGGTTTTAAGTGTTGACAGGTATGTAATTCTACCACAAGTACTATTTTGGCAGCTTGCTTTTTTCATTTAATGCTGTATCTTGAGCATCTTTCCATATTAATATATTTAAAGTCATTATATTCTTTCTAGTGGCTAATCCATGGTGTGCATGTGTCTTTGACATGACTTCTCTTGTAATGGGCAATTGGGTTGTTAGCAGAAGATTCTGGAAGTAGAATTACTGGGTAAAAGGATATAATTGTTTTGAATTTTTTTAACTCATGCTTTTAACTGTCTTTACCACCTTGGTCTAATATGTCCTTGTTTCTGAAGGGAGTAGGAAGCAAGGCTTTTGAGTTTCATTGGAAACTTCATTGCAGCCTGCTGCTTCCTCTTCAGTCACCCTTAGTCTGGGTCAGAGATAGTTACAGAATGGAAATACAGCAAAAAACCTGCTCACTCTTCAGAATAAAATAGCTAGTTAAACTTATTTGTGTATTTGATTAGAAAATGAAAAAAGTACAAATTTCTTTTTCTTCTTGATTTTGGAGAGGGAGGGAGGGAGAGGGAGAGGGAGAGGGGGAGAGAGAGAGAGAGAAAGAGAGAGAGAGAGAGAGAGAGAGAACGATGGAGATATATGAAAGAGACATCTATTGGTTGCCGGGGATCAAACCCACAACATAAGTGTGTGCCCTGACCAGGAATCAAACCTGAGACCTTCTGGTTCACTGGACAATGCTCCACTCAACTGAACCACACCAGCCAGGGCAATACGAATATTTTTTTTTAATATATTTTATTGATTTTTCACAGAGAGGAAGGGGGAGAGATAGAGAGTTAGAAACATCGATGAGAGAGAAACATTGATCAGCTGCCTCCTGCACATCTCCCACTGGGGATATGCCCGCAACCAAGGTACATGCCCTTGACCGGAATCGAACCTGGGACCTTTCAGTCCGCAGGCCGATGCTCTATCCACCGAGCCAAACCGGTTTCGGCACGAATATTTTTTTTAAGTAAAAAATTTCTTTTTTTTCTTTGTTAATTTAATCAGTTGCCTCCCACCTTGGCCAGTACTATACCCTGTTCTCCCTATAGAAAAATGCTGGTTTTTGTAGGCAGGTACAAATACATAAATATTTTCACACAAGTGATAGATATTGTATCGTGTACTTTGTACTCCAGAAAATCATAGTCTTTTAAAAACTTTTTCTATATTTCTGAGGTATGAGTAAATATAGGAAGTGCAGAAAAGTAGACTACCCTCCTGCCCCCAATATTACTTTCTCTGTGTGCTTTTTCAAGCAAAGTTTTGGACAAAGTACTCCTTTTTCAAGAGCGTAGATGCCACTTAACACGTCCTTTGACTGAGCAGGCCACTGAAGGACTAGGTGGTGACACTTCCCGAGTGTTGGCTGCCTGGAGTCAGGTTAGTAACACCTGGGCAGGAAGGTTGAGGGCCTGACCGTTTCAGGAACCAGAGGTTTTTATCTGCCTTTGGGCCCCTTGGAGCCAGATGTAGGGATCATCCCACCTGACTGCCAATCTCCACCTGCTGCACAGGGGAGTGCCCAGTCCCATGCAGCTGCACAGTCGCTGTAATGTCCTACTCACATTGTCCTGGGCAAGGGACACCGAGGCTTCTTCCAGAGACAGTTGAGGAATGCATTCAACTGATTCTTTCTTCCTTGTTCTTTTTACAGATGAGTGTGGGTCAGAGAGCCAAACTGACTATCTCCCCAGACTATGCCTATGGTGCCACTGGGCACCCAGGCATCATCCCACCAAATGCCACTCTCGTCTTTGATGTGGAACTTCTAAAACTGGAATGACAGGAATGGCCTACTCCCTGAGTTCCCTGTACTTGGGTAAGGAACTTAATGCTAAAGAACCTTTAAATTACCTTTGCTCCTCCCATGTTATGCTCAGCATTTGATGGGTGGATAGTAGAATGAAAAATGTCATGGGCTGCCTCCTCCCTCCCCCTCTTCTTCCTCTCTCGGGTATCCTTTCAGTTTTAGTTATCAGTGTACACCTTGAATGTAAAGATTGGTCACCGTATGAAAGGGATAGCCTATATTCTTGAATGTATTTATGGGGATGGGGCAGCTTAATGTAGCTGTTTAAATGAAGTATTTTTTTATGTAGCTTATAAGCTAAACCTCAGTTGCGAACTGAAAATATTAAGCTGATTTTTAGTGCCAATATTTTAGTTCTTTAGAAGTAAGAGTGTTGGTGACTTTGCTTACCCTGTCCTGGTTTGTACACCTTCCTCATCCACAGTTTGTGGCTACCTGCCTTGGGGAGCAAACTCAGGATAGTTGAGGCCGACAGGCCAGCTTCTTATCAGTGGGTTGAAAGTGAGGCCAGAGGATGTTATGGAAGTGTAAAGGGTGCTCTCAGACAGTTGTAGGAAGGAATCTTAGGGTGTCAACCTTCCTATGCAACAGGTGAGGAAACTGAGGCTCAGAGAAAAGGGCCTTACAAGGTCTCATTTTATGGCAAACTAGGACCAGACCAGAATCCCTTTCTAGACTTTTTTTCTTCCCATTACCTTCATTTCTAGGAAACCAAACTCCATATCCTAATAAATCATAAAACACATGAATGTTGTCATTTTTCTAGTTGGCCCCACACCTCTGTTTGCTCCCCTCAGGAACCAGAGGACCACAGCCAGTGGCTGGGAAGAATGCTTTTGTTTGAAAGCTACAATAGGTGTCTGCCAGCTGTTGGTTATGGTGTACCCTTGTCCTGTTGTGGTTTTAAGTAGAGGGGCTTTTTAAAAATTAGTAGTTATTTTCTCTTTTAGTGGCCTGAACCCTGCACACCTGGGTCATACAGTCCTGGTCAGGTTTAATGACTTTGGCTTCTCCATTTGTTATTTCTACCAGGGGCAAGGAACTCCTGACACTTTAGAGAGCCTCCCTCTGCCCAAAGGTCTACACCTAGTCCAAACCCTCTTTCCTGCTCTTGGAGAGCTGAGTCCTTTGAACATAAATGTATTTGAGGGAGCCTTGGAGTTATTCTGATTTGGGAACAGGCTTTCTGTAAATCTGATAGGATGGAGGGTAGGGAAGGAAAGGAGAGGGAGATGAATGGCTAAAAGTCACTCTGGTCTAAGCCTCCCCATGCACTGCCACAGAGCATCTCAGAGCTGTTTGCAAGGGTCTTGATGGGAAGCCCAGGAGCAAACCCAGAAAGTTACAGATTTGGGTGAATAAATGAAGACTGCAGACATTCTCTAAGTATGTTCAACATGGGGAATATCCGTTTAGAGCTTTGCACATTAAAGATACCTGAGAAGCTTTTAAAACTCTCCTGATGCCCAGGCCACAGTTGACCACAATCACTGGGAGAGAGATCCAGGCATCAAAGATTTTTAACACCCCACCCCCCACCCCCAAGCAATTCCTATGTGTAACCAATGATAATAGGGACCTGTATTTGTTAGTGGCCTCGGTAGACTGCCCCTCCTACTGTCCTCAGGAAGATAAACTTACCTTAGGTTTATAAAAAAGAACAACCTATTTAAGTAGGAAGGAGGTGGTTCATCTGGGAATCTAGCCTGAGCCCAGTGCCTCTCCCAGCTCAAGCAGAAGTAGCTTGGTCCAAGTAAGACCTCCCAGATGTTGGAGAAGGGACTTGGTGTGGCAGCCAGCCCTGTGGTTGTCCCACTGCACACAAAGAGCATTGAGTTGCTGGAACTCACAAATTTTCTGTCCCCAACAGATGTGCCATGGAGGGATCTGGCGCCCCCGACGCGCACACGCGAATCCGTGCGGAGCTTTTCCTGATGTTCCACTACACTTTGTATAAACATCTGCCCCGACTGAATGTGT